CATCATCATCATCATCATCATCATCATCATCATCATCATCATCATATTATCATCATCATCATCATCATCATCATCATCATCATCATCATCATCATCATCATCATCATCATCATCATCATCATCATCATCATCATCATCATCAATTAATCCTCGATTCCCCAGAACATATGGGAAAATATGGGAAGTGGGGGGGAAGACAGGAGCCCAGAAAAGATCGGAAAGCATGGGGAATACTTCCCCAATCAGAGCTTGCTTCTGTAGGGGTCCTAGCGGATATAAAGCTGAGGTAAGGTCGGCGGCCGATTTCGGTGGCCAGGGCCGGGTGCCCGGGTGCCCGGGGGTGCCTGGGTGGCCGATTTCGGTGGCTGGCCCGGGTGCCCGGGGGTGCCCGGGTGCCCGGGGGTGCCCAATAGCCCAGTAGCCCTATAGCCCTATAGCCCTAAAGCCGTATAGCCCTATAGCCCTGTAGCCCTATAGCCTTATGTCCCTGTAGCCCTAATAGCCTTATATCCCTATAGCCCTATAGCCCCATAGCCCATATAGCTCTATAGCCCCATAGCCCTATGGCCACAGTCCTATAGCCCGATAGCCCTATAGCCCGACAGCCGTATAGCCCTATAGCCCAATAGCCCTATAGCCCTATAGCCCTGTAGCCCTAACAAAAGTCTGATTGGGGTTTTTCTCCGGTACCATTTTTTATTTGTGTGTATGTATTGGTGTGTCCTGGGGCCCCTTCAAGAGCGGAGGGAGAAGACGTGGCGACCGCGCGACTGGGAGACCTGGCATCGCTCGGACGTGTGCATCTTTCCTTCGGCGAGGACCATCGGGGAGCATCCTTGATTGTTTGGCGAAAAAACCACGCGCGAAACCGACAACACACACAGGGAATGGACGTCCGAGCGATGGCCGGGAGAGGAGTGGCTGCCGTCCTCATGTGAGCTTCCCCCAACCACGAGAGAGCAGCTGTCGAAGGTCAACTCGGGAGAGGGGATGCAGGAGGCGCTGGAGTCACAGAGGCGTCGGCTCAGTGGTATCGGAATCTTGGGGAGGAAGGGGGCACAGTCTTCGGGATTCGGGAGGGCCTCCGGGGTAGTCCGGAGCTGTGTGATGCACATCTCGAGCTTTCCAGGAGGGCCTCAGGGGCGCATCATAACAGCCATAGGATGTGGTAGGAGGAGGAAGAGGGGGAGAATGAGGAGGAGGAGGAGGAGCAGCAGCAGCAGCATGAGCATCACAGGAGGGGTAGCAGGGGCGGGAGGCGGCGGAGAAGGCTGCCGACATCCCCTGAAAATCGCAGTCCAGGGGGAATCTTAGATGTGTCGGAGCGCCTCGAATCTCGATGGGGGGGGCGGACTTCTTCTGCTGCTCATGTGGCCCAAGCTGGGAGGCTCAGGGTCTCGGGGTGGCCGTCCAGAACCCACTGCGCAGCAGCGGGCGGCCTCGCACGCCATGAGGACCTGCTCTTTCATCGTGCTGCTGATCCTCCTGACTCTGATCACGCTGGCGGCCACGACCTCGAAGTACTGGGTCCACTGGCTCTCCGTCACCATCATGGTCGGGATGCTCTTCCTGGCCAACCTGATGTTCATGGACGACAGCGCGTTCGTCTTCGACCCGCTGACGAAGAAGGTGGACCTGTGAGCCCCCCGCGGGGCCCGCGCGCCCGCGCAGGGCCGTCTTCAGCCGAAGCCTGGGGAGTAGCGCGAGTCGTGCTTCGGGCTCTAATTGTTTAGCTCCAGACGCGCTGAAGACAGGCAGGCAGATGCGGCATAACATGGGCGCAGCACAGCAGGGGTGCCTGCGCCCCCTAGAGTGCACAGCATATACTGGTCCACCTAGATTGCAGCACATCGGTTGCACAGCATAGATTGCACAACCTAGATTGCACCACGTAGATTGCACGACTTCGGCTGCTAGAGACAACAGAAGCACACTGTTTGGGGTCCACGCTGGCTAATCTATTAAAGACGAGCGATGGGACAGAATCAACAGGAAATTGCAGTGTCCCAGGGGGGGTCGAGAAAGCCAGGGCGGGGGAGAGATCCTCATGTCTTTGTGGAGAGGAGAATCTGGGCGGCGACGGGGCGGCGACGAGGCAACGACGGGGTGGCGACAGCGATTACAGAGCCGCCAGACTGGCACGCAGGCCCGGACGGCCGGGCGGTGACGAGGCGGCGACGGGGTGGCGATGACGACGACATAGCTGCCAGGCCAGCACGCAGGCACAGTTCCTTAGGAAACAAGGAAGAACCTGTAAGTGCAAACGTTGTTTAGTGAGTAACAACCGCTTGGCATTCCCCATGCGCATTACGATCACAAACTTAACATATACAGCAGCTGCACTGATGGAGGGATCCTCATATTCAAATCGGGCCTATCTTTCGAGACTTCATTCGGTTATACGGCTAGACGTTTGGCATCGGAGGAAGTTTGCACGGCGTGAGGGCGGTTGACTTTCAAAGCCCGGTTGTCGTTGGACCGTTTTGGGGGACTTGTGATGCTACCTCTTTACTCACCACCCACCAAACCACCCCAACCCAACCCGAAGGCTCATATTTTCCCTCGATTTCCAGGGGGGGGCGGGAAACATCGAAAAAACACATGTGGAACCTTTACCCCCCCCAACCCGAAATTCGGGTCTTCGGGTTGGGTTGGGGTGGTCTGGTAGGTAGTCATTTACCGTTCTTGTTCATGGATGGCAGCTCTTTTCCAAAACAGCTCTCTCGCCTGAATGGCAGGACTACTGGGGCGATCGTCTTCTAAGGGGGGCACTTTGCAGAGTGAGAAGGAACTCGATGTACGGGCTTCTGAGGAGGGTACTTGGGCGGGCGGGCGTACTGCAGCATCGTTGGTGCATCTTAGGTTTATTGTTGTCCTCCTCTTCCTCCTTCTCCTCCTCCTCCTCCTCCTCCTCCTCCTCCTCCTCTTCCTCCACCTATTCATTGCCATCCAGGGGCCCACTTGGCGCCCTCCTGGGATCCACTTGGCTCCCTCCTGGTGCCCTTTGGGGGGCCTCTTTAGGGTATCTTGGGAACTCTTAGGGCCCTATTGGGTTATCTTGCGGCCCTCTTGGACCGTCTCGGGGCCTTCCTGGGCTATATTGAGCATTCGTGGCCGTTGTGAGGGTCCCAAGAGGGCCCTCTTGAGCCGTCTGTTGTGGGACTGTATCGGGGGACCTCATCAGCCGTGTTGGGCTTCTCTTGGGGGGCATTTGGGGCAGTTCTGGGGCCCTCTTGGAGGCAGTTTGGGCTGTATTCGCCCGTCTTGGGCTTCCAGAAGCCCGAAAATGGCGAGGAGGAGGAGGAGGAGGAGATGCCCTCTTCGGGGTCCGTCGTCGGGGGGCCTCTCTGGACGTCGTGAGACTGTCTTTGGGCCTCTCGGAGCTCTCTTGGGCCGTCTTGGGCTCTCGAGGCTTTCTTCGGAGCCTCTTGGTGCCGTCGTCGAGGCCTCTTGGGCCCTCGTGGCCATGCGGTGGCGTCTGAATTGTGGGAATCCTGGGGATCTTTTCTAGAGCGGCCAGGAATACAAGCCCCAACCCCCAGGTGGGTTTTTTGAGCGTCGCGGGCCCCCTGGTGGACAGTAACATGTGGGCAGAACTGGAAAGATGAGAGGCAACAGGAAAAGACCGCACACAGGGCACACGCCGGCAGTCCAGCAGGACCCTTCACACCCTTGCGACCCCCAGGGGGCTGGCGGATGTTTGTGTCACAGTGTGGGCGAGATCAGATCTTGGTTCCAGCGGCGTCGCATACGACCTGCCACACTCGCCTAACCTAGCATACCACAAAGCAGCCAGCCTTCTCCTCATCTCCCCTCTACTCTGCGCTCCGTCTTCTGTCCTCTGTCCCCTCTGCAGCCCTTCCTTCTCGGACAGCTCCTCCTCCCCCGTCCACCACACTCAGCACTACCACTCTTCAGCTCCCAAAGTTCGGGGGAGCGTAAGACCCGGGTTTGCCAGGACTCGGGTTCGCCATCGTTTTTTGACGACCGCGCCTCGGATTTTGACGAGGAGGAGTTTCGTGGGATGTCTGCAGCGGGAGGCCTCGTCAAAATGCAGGGTCGGCCTCGTCATTTTTTTGACGACCTCGTCGGGGATTTCCGAGTCCCCTGTACCCAGGTCTTACGTTCCCCTGAAAAGTGTCGGGCCTCGAAATCTATACATGTCCAGCGCTTCATGGCCAGGCCCATCCCGAATCCAGGAGAGCCGTGTGCACGCCCTCCTGGCGAGGCCACGAGGCGGCCCCCACTCCGTGATGTTGAGGAAGAGAATGTCCAAGGACCCTCCTCCTCCTCCTCCTCCTCCTCCTCCTCCTCCTCCTCCTCCCCTCCTCCTCCTCCTCCTCCTCCTCCGCCTCCTCCTCCTCCTCCTCCTCCTCCTCCTCCTCCTCCTCCTCCTCCTCTCCATGATCAGGTACTCCTGCAGCAGGGCCCCTGCAGGAGGGCAGCGCTGCCGTGCGAAAGACTGCCCGCTGCAGCAGCAGCAGCAGCGGCAGCGGCAGCGGCAGCAGCACCTCTGCCACTGCCAGGCGCAGCGCCCTTGCCGCCGCCCAGGCCCTTGCTGGCAGAGGCAGCTGCCGCTTGGGCCTCGGCAGCGGTCTTGATGCGCTCGAGCATGGTCTGCTGGTCAGCCTCCTGCACGACGACCCTGGACCTGCTGGACGCACTGGCCGCGGCGGCAGCTGCCGAGGCGCCCGAGCCCGCACCAGCGCCCGAGTCTGCAGTCGCTTCACCACCAGCAGCAGCTTCGCCATCGGCCGAGAGCCTGCGCCTCTTGGCCGCCGCCTCCTTGTGCGCCGACCGCGCCTGCTCCAGGAGCGCCTGGAACCCCTTCTGCTTGCCCTCCGCCTGCAGGGTGATGTCCTCCGGCTGCTTCTGGAAGGCCACCAGCGCCTGCTTGCCCGACGCCGCCAGCTCGTCCAGACTCGAGAACAGATCCAAGGGCTCCCACGAGGGCGCGAAGTTATTCGCGCTTCGCGCTTCGCGGTCCTCGTTCTTTCTCCCCCCTCCTCCTCGTCCTCCTATTCTCCCTTTGGGAGGGCGGCGCGAGAGCGCGAAGTTATTCGCGCTTCGCGCAGCGCGAAGCGCGAAGTTGGGAGCCCTAGGGTTGAACAGCGAAGGCTTGGAAGTCTCAGGCGGGGCCGCCGCCTCCTGCAACCGCTGCAGCTCTGCCGTGAAGACCTCGTCCGCCGCCTCGTCGGACTTCGCTTGCGCCCTCTCGAGCTGAAGACGAGCATGATCAAGCGACTTGGCGGCCGCCTCCAAAGCCACCTGCTTGAGCGAGCAATCCGCCGTGGCCTCCCTGAGGAGCGCATGCGGGGACTTGGAAGGAGGAGGGGCCGCCAGCTGCTCTCTCGTCGCCCGGGTGGTGAGCTCCGTCGCCAGGCGCTTCGCCTCAGGGTCGGAATCGAGCCCAGCACCAGCGAGCGCTTTCGCGAGGCAGCCCCCGATGTTGGCGAGGGACGGTGCGGCGGGCTGGGACCGCCCGTGCCATATGCCACTCGATGTAAAGTTCCATCTTGGCTGCACCGTGTCGCAGACTGCGCACACCCCCTTCTGCTTCTTGAGCCTCCAGTTCCACTCGGGAGCCGGGCAAGGGCTGCTAAATCCGTGGCTGCTAAAATCGACCTCCGGGAAGTTGTCTTCGTCCTTCCGGGAAGAAGCTCGTTGACTGTTTCCCGTGCCGCGCCTAATTCCGGGAAGTTGTTTTTTCCTTCCGGGAGGGCCGCTTTAGCAGCCACGGTTTTAGCAGCCCTCGCCCAGCTTCCGATCCACACACAGCTGTGACACTGTGCGCACACTGAGAAACCATGCCTATCGTGCTTGACCATCCGCTCCGGCAGGAGCTCACAACTGCTGCTCCGACAGGAGCTCACAAAACACTTGCAGATTGGCACTGGGTCTGCACATGAATGCACTGAAAGCTGGCCGCAGGCTAGCGGTATCCACTTGTTTCGCGAGAAAACTCAAATCTTTAAGCCACAATGGCTACGGAGGGGGAGAAGGGGGAGGAGGAGGAGGAGGAGGAAAAGGAGGAGGAGGAGGAGGAGGAGGAGGAGGGGGAGGAGGAAGAGGAGGAGGAGGAGGAGCAGCAGCAGCAGCAGCAGCAGCAGCAGCAACAGCATTAGCATGACAGGAGAGGTAGCAGGGGCGGGAGGCGGCGGAGAAGGCCGCCGACATCCCCTGGAAATCGCAGAACCCTGGGGTGGAGCTCTTAGATGTGTCGGAGCGCCTCGAATCTCGATGGGGGGCGGACTTCTTCCGCTGTCATTGTGGCCCAAGCTGGGAGGCTCAGGGTCTCGGGGTGGCCGTCCAAAACCCATTGCGCAGCAGCGGGCGGCCTCGCACGCCATGAGGACCTGCTCTTTCATCGTGCTGCTGATCCTCCTGACTCTGATCACGCTGGCGGCCACGACCTCGAAGTACTGGGTCCACTGGCTCTCCGTCACCATCATGGTCGGGATGCTCTTCCTGGCCAACCTGATGTTCATGGACGACAGCGCGTTCGTCTTCGACCCGCTGACGAAGAAGGTGGACCTGTGAGCCCCCCGCGGGGCCCGCGCGCCCGCGCAGGGCCGTCTTCAGCCGAAGCCTGGGGAGTAGCGCGAGTCGTGCTTCGGGCTCTGATTGTTTATCTCCAGACGCGCGGAAGACAGGCAGGCAGATGCGGCACAGCACGGGCGCAGCACAGCAGAGAGCGGCGCCTCAGCTCCCTGCGCTTCACCTCTTCATCCCCCTCCCTCTCTCTCTGTCTCTGTCTCTTTCTCGACCTCTCCGCTTCTTCTTTTGCCCCGAGGTGCTCCCCAGCAGTTTTGCTTGTGACAGCAGGGCTCGTTCGTGCTGCAGCATCTGCCGCTGACACACCGGAGGCTGGCAGCGAGCGGACGGGAAAGCGAGACGCGCAAAAACAAATCTCAAGGGAGACGTGCTGGAACCTCAGAGGAGTACAGGGCTACCAGAGGAAGGGGATAGGAGGAGGATTGGGATGGGAGGAGCAGGGAGGGGATGGGGATGGGGAGAGGGAAGGGTAATTGGTGGGGGGAGGGTGGATTCGGAGGGCAGGAGGTCGAGGAGGAGGAGGAGGAGGAGGTCTTCGTGGAGCCCCCGGGGGGGGGTCCGACGGGCGGGGGCGCCTCGGAGGCCCCGGCCCGAGCTCCGCGCGGCCTCGGCGCGGCTCCGCGTGGGGCTGCCGGAGGAGGGCGCGGAAGTGGCCCGGTCGCGGCCGGGAGCCGGAGCGGGAGGGCCGAGGAGCGCAGGGCGGCGGGACGACGAGGCGAGGCGTCGCGGTGGGGCTCCGAGTCGGTGGCCGCGCGCGCTGCCCGATCGAGTGGTCAGTCGAAGATCGGTTCGGTCGCGCTGCCTCGGCGCGCGCAGGGTCGTCGGGAAGGGCGGGGGCCGCGGCCCCACGTCGGGCGGCCTCCTGGGAGCGCAACGAGGAGGAGGAGGAGGAGGAGGAGGAGGAGGAGGAGGAGGAGGAGGAGGAGAGCAGGAGGAGGAGGAGGATGTAAGAGGAGGAGGAGGAGGAGGCAGGAGGAGGAGGAGGATCGAGGAGGCGGAGGAGGAGGAGGATGAGGAGGAGGAGGAGGAGGAGAAGGAGGGATGAGGAGGGAGGAGGGAGTGAGGAGGGAGGAGTGAGGAGGAGGCGGAGGAGGAGGAGGAGGTAGGGGGGGTCTCTGCTAGGGGGGCACCTTCGATCTACAGCGGAGCTCGCGTGGCTTCCTTCCATCAGAAATAACAAGCCCGATGCGGATGATGCCAAACCAGGAGATTGACCAGGAGGGAGGGCGGGGCGATGTGGTGGTGGGCCCGCACATGGTGTGTTCATATAACGATGCCAAATGACAGCCCACCGCAACCTCGCGACTTCCCAGAGGAACGGGTGTTGCGAAGGAAGGCGGAGAGGAGGGAGGGAGAGGCGGGGGGCAGGGAGACGGGACGGGGAGGCGGGTGAAGGAAGGGGGATTGAGATGTGGAGTGACCTGTCGCGTCGCATCAATGCGCCATTCATTAGGGACTCATCCTGCACGCTGGCTGGCTGCAGCCTTTTGGGCTTCAGTACTCTTTGCCTGCTCCGCCACGTAGGCATCCAGCAGCGCGCGGCGGCATAGTGCAGCAGCGGCGCACGGTCAGCCATGCTGTCCACAATGCGCTCCCCGACATCAAGGCCTCCCGCCCCTGCTGTCTAATATGGTTCCGGTGTCTCCGGCCCAGCGCCACTCCTCCGTCCTGCCTTCCTCCCCGTCCTTTCCCTCATTTCTTTCTTCCTCCTCTTTTTCCTCCGCTCTCACGCTGTTCTCTCATCTCTCGTGCTCTTTGTTCCTCCTCTTTTTCCTCCGCTCCTGGGTTCATCCCTCATCCCTTTTCTTCCTTCCTGTTCCTCGCCCTATTCCTCTCCTTCTCCCATCCCTCGTGCTCCCCTCTCCCCATCATCCTCCCCTATCTCCCTTCGCCTCCCCGCCTCCCTCTTCTCCTCCCCCTCTTCTTTTCCTCATCTTCTCACCCAGCAACTACCCCTGACAATGTGCTAGCGTGCTCCCGCTTCACTCGCGTGAACTTTTCGCAAGCTTCTATTGACGAGCTGAAGTGTAATATGTGTTTGTCCGATCGACGTTCTCTGTCCTTCAAACATGGTGTTCCCGCTGCAGCGTTGACGGCACCTCAGCTTCAGTTGTTTGCCCCCGTCTTTCAGAAAGACGCTTTTGCTACAGCGCGGGCAACATTTCTGTATCCGATGTGTGTCCCTTCCCTCCTCCACATTCCGTTGATGGCCCTGCTCCTCCTTTTCTTCTTCCTGCTCCTTTTTCTTCTTTTCTGATCCTCCTCCTCGTCCTCAGCCCACTGCTCAGTCTTGTCCTGCCGCTCCTCCCTCGCACATATACAGAAGCCCCCCTTCTGATAGCCCTACACTTGATGGATCAAACCCTGGAACGGCCATTTTCTTCTGAACTCCTCAAAGACACCGCACTGGACGGATCGAAAAGGATCCGACGCAACGGGAAGGGATGGGTGATAGGGGTAGGATGCCAGATGTGGCGCGAGCGCGTCTAGCTTGTCGCTTCCCCTTCCTAGCTTCCTCTCTCCGTCCCCTTGGCATCGCTCGGACGTGTGCATTCTTCCTTCGGCGAGGACCATCGAGGAGCATCCTTGATCATTTGGCGAAAAAACCACGCAAGAAACCGAAAAAAACACAGAGAACGGACGCCCGAGCGATGGCCAGTCTCTCACCCTCCCGGCTCCCGCTCCACTCTCCCCCCGTCACCCATGACGCCTTCGCGTTGGCTTCGTGGCCACCCTGGCTCCGTCGTGGTGCCTAGCGAGGCAGGCCACAGCGCGGCTGCGCTCGATCGCCTTACATGTTCTTGGCCCCCCCGTCCCCAGAGGGACGGAGGAGCAGGACGGGGCGGAGAAGATGGAGGGCGAGGGGGAAAGCAGGAGGGGCCGTAGTAGGGGCCGAGGGGAAGCGTGAGAACGCAGTAGAGAGTGAGAGAGAGAGAGCGAGAAAGAGAGAGAGAGAGAGAGAGATATGTATATATATATATATATATAGAGAGAGAGAGAGAGAGAGAGAGAGAGAGAGAGAAAAAAAAAAAACGATCACGTAGAGCCCGAGCAATAGGAAACACAGGATGCGCAGGAGCTGTCCGACGGAGGAAGAATGAACGTAGTGTGACAAGTGGCGTAATCAGAGATAGTTCCAGTAGTGGTAGTAGTAATAGTAGTAGTAGTAGTAGTAGTAGTAGTAGTAGTAGTAGCAGTAGTAGTAGTAGTAGTAGTAGTAGT